TAGAGTGAGAGCTCTACAAGAGCAGCCAGTTTGAGCATTGCTTTTGATGACAAACTCCATCCCCTTAATTGCCCTGACACATCTAAATTTTTTGTATATAATTTGGAGGCTGCTTTCCTCAAATACTGTAGAGAAAATCAATGCTACTAATAAATGGCATAGATTAAGTACAAAGGCCTAAGCTCTTTTTCATCTAAGTTGTACAGAATCACTAGTGTATACAGGTCAACTGATGATGAAGAAATCAATTTCATTTTAAACTTTTTTAAAATTACGTTTACTTATTCATTTATATGATGGGGGCACATGCCATGGTGAACATGTGGTCAGAGGACAACATGCTTGAGTTGGTTCTCTCTCTCCACCAGGTCATCAGATTGGTAGCAAGGATCTTCACCTGCTGAGCTATCTCTCTGGCCCAGAAAGGGTAATTCATAATGAAACTTCTAGAAACATGACTGCCATACTACTTTTTGTATAATACCCTTAAATGACAATCCCATACGTAATGCAGTGTAAAGGCTAAACTGACCTTTCATTTCACTTTCTTTGTACTATCAGTCCTCTCGCTCCACTCCTCTCCACCCCCCTGGCAAGTAATGTAATCACAGCACATAGCATATATTTATCAGAGCACAGACACAGTATAGCTGAATGGTTGGAATATAACTAACAAGCATGCTCCTCCATGCCTTAGTTTATGAGGTGCTCCATTGCCTCATGCATGCTAAGCAAGCACTCTACAAACGGAGCTACATCCCTAGCTCAGGGGCCCACAAGTCTTGCATTTTCATGAAACAGCACTGGAAGGATTTTCTGAGACAAAGTTGCATACTTTAGGCCCAGGCTGACCTGGAACTTGTGGCAATCCTCCTGCCTCAGCATTGAAAGTGCTAAGGTTATAGGCATAAGCCACACCTTGCTTGGAATTCTGAAAAATGTAGCATAACTCACCTCAGTAAAAGCATTAATAGGAATTCATAATAAATTACATGAACTGTATTTAAACATATCCTTTAGCTAACAGAAGAATATTAACTACACATTCATCCTAGCAACTAAGTACTTGGAAAAAAAAGTTAAATTTTAATCTGGCAACAAAGCAATCCCATTATTTCTAGAAGTATAGGATTCCACAATAAAGTTGTGGTAGAGTGCTTGCCTAGCATTAGTAAGGCCCTAGGTTCAATCTTCAGAACTCAGAGAAAAAAAGAAATTTCTTTTTTTAAAAAATATTTTATGTGTATGAGTATTACGTCTGTATGTATGTAAGTGCACCCATGTTGTGCAGTGCCCATGGAGGTCAGAAGAGGGCATCCGATCCCCTGGAACTAGAGTTACAGACAGTTGTTAGCTGCTAGGATTTGAACCCAGGTCTTCTGAAAGAGCAGTCAGTGCTCTTAGCCACTGAGCCATCTCTAAAGCCCCCCCTTCCTATTTCTTGTTAAAAAGTAGGAATATTTTTGTCTTCATACTTGTGGTTTAAGTGTCCCCCACAGGATCAAGAATTTGAACACTTGGTCAGATGGTGGCACTGTCTTGGGAGGGTCACGGAATCCCTAGAAGTGCAGCCTTGCTGGAGGAACCACATCACTGGGGACAGCTTTGAGAGTTAATAGCCTTGCCTCACTTTGTTTTGCTTTCTCTACTGCCTTTGAAGATGTGAGCGCTCAGCTTTCTGCTCTGGCTGCCTTCTGTCATGCCCCCCCACACACACCATTATGGACTCTCTCTCTCTCTCTCTCTCTCTCTCTCTCTCTCTCTCTCTCTCTCTCTCTGAAATGTGAGCCAAATAAATTCTCCCTTTTATAAGCTGCCTTGGTCATGGTGTTTTGTCACAGCAAAAGTTAATACAATACTCACTAGGGGTTTCTACAAATTGCAAACATTAGAAACAATCCACTTTTGATTATTAGACATATTTTGAAGGTTAGACATATTTCTAAACTATGCATGCCACTATTGGCTTAAAAGACCATTTGCTCATGTAAAAACCTTTTGTTACAATTATATGATTTCCTTTTTTAAAATCATTAAACCACATTGTGGGTACATGCCTGTAATCCTGAGGCCTGGGAGGATAAGGCAGAATTGGATCAAGTAAGAAGCCAGAAAGACAGAGTATGAGACTCTATTTCAAACAGAGAAAATATTCAATCTTCAATTAAGCTTGAATGAAATCCAAATAGAAACCATTTTTAGACAGAGCCCATGTGTATAGTTCTAAATATTTTTGAGTTATCAAGCTCTATTTCTAGCCAATTATTTTTGAGCTATTAATCCCCAATTTCCAGTTCTTTCAGTGTCTAATCTGTTAAATTCTGCGTCCTTGCAAAGCCAACCATTTTTACTAGTGAGTTAAAACATTTCTGTGAAATATTTGTATTTGTATAATTCAGAATATGATTGGCATTTTTGAGATATTTGAGCAAGCTTATTCTAAAGAACTTTTTAAAATAGTGAAAGGCAGGATTTTTGCTGGCTTTCAGAAATTAACTTTATCTGGGTGTGACAGCACCTGCTTTTAACTCCCTGATCCCAGCTGACAGGGGATCTCAAGTTCTAAGCCAGTGTGGGCTACACGTTATCTCTGAAAACTGTTTTCTGCTGTACTTCTAGCTACTGCAAACAGTGGTTTTGAATGCTGTTGCTTGTTTGTAGCTACATTATTTAGGGTCCTTTTTCCCCTAACGTTTTTCAACTTCAATGCCATATGATTTATTTTCTATTTTGCCTGCTTGTATATAAGTGCACGTATGTCATACAAGGCCTATTGAGATCAGAAGAGGGTATTCCTAGAACTGGAGAAACAGTTGTTCACAACCATGTGGGTGCTGGGAACCGAACCCAGGACCTCTTCAAGAGCAGTCAGTGCTCCTAACTGTCAATTCATCTCTTCAGCCCTTTCAGTGCTCTTTGGAAATCAGAATTGCATTTATCATGTGTGTACTAGGAATTTGTTATCTGGACACTTTTGGTAAAAGTTAATATGATACCAAGTAAATTAATTTTTTTTTGTCTTTTTGAGACAGGGTCTCCCTGTAGTCCCAGCTGACCTTAACTCACTATGTAGACCAGGCTGGCCTTGAACTCACAAGGATCTGCCTGGCTCTGCCTCCTGAGTGCTGGGATTAAAGGTGTGCGCCTGGCTAGCATGTTACATCTTACCAAGTAAATTGATTTGTCTCCCTTCCATGTTTAAGGACCTTTGAGGATTTCTTCTTCAAGGTGCTTATGCCACATTAAAAATGTAAAGAAGCTGGGCGTGGTGGCACACACCTTTAATCTCAGCACTCGGAAGGCAGAGCTAGGCAGATCTCTGTGAATTCAAGGCCAGCCTGGTCCACATAGTAAGTTCCAGGACAGCTGGGGCTACAGACAGACCCCGACTCAAAAAGACCAATAAATAAATAATAAATAAAAATGTAAATATATCCTTTGATGAGCAAATATGAAAACCAAACTAGAATTAAGTATGAAAAGAAGGAATAAAGTTAGCTAAGTCTTAGTACCACTAGGTGGATGTACCATCATGGCCTAGGCACAGCATAGGCTATAATTCTACTTGGATCAGTGTCCTTGGCTAAGTGCCTTCTGCATAGCTCAACCCATATAAACTCTGCAGCCATAGTTGTCCTACACCATTCATTATCACTGTTCTGGGTTATCAAACATTTTAGACAATTTTTTTAAACCCAAAGGTCTCAAGGCAGGTCTTAAAGATGTTCTAAAAGTTTAGTGTCTAAAGTAGTAGTTCAAGCCGGCATGATGGCGCCCGCCTTTAATCCCAGCACTCGGAAGGCAGAGGCAGGCAGATCTCTGTGAGTTCAAGGTCAGCCTGGTCTACATAGGGAGTTCCAGGACGGCTGGGGCTACAGGGAGACCCTATCTCAAAAAGACCAAAATTAGTCAAAATAAAAATTAAAAGCTAAAGAAGGGTTCAGATTGTATTAAATAAACTAAAGTGAAATAACAACAAATAATTTGGAGAAATACAAGTTGAAAGGAAGAAAAACCTACAAATAATTTTCCAAGTTTCTAGATTTTGCACCCTCCCCCCAAATTCTCAAAAGTTTGCAGCATGGTATTTTAACATTGGAGGAATAGCCTCTTCAATTTACAGTGGTACTATTTTCATCCCAAATTGTTTACTATCTTTTGGCCTTATTTCAAAAGGTTAATACTATTGGGTCAGCAAAATGGCTTAGCACCTGCCACCAAGCCTGATGACCTGAATTTGATCCCTAGGACCCACTTGGTAGAACTGACTCCCATAAGTTGCTCTCTGACCTCCACAAGCATGTCATGGCCCGTGCAAGCCCCCTACTCCTATACACACAGAAATTAATACATGTAATACAAAATGTCACAGGTTAATACTGTTAACCAAAGTTAATTTTTTTGTGGTAAAACAAGTCCTCAGTGGTAAATGCTTCACTCCTATACAAACATACCCAAAGGTAAAAAATTCATCTTGGACTTGAATTTTTCCTGTTCCAAATTATTTTATGGTCAAGAGCTGTATCATATGACTCCTCATGTATATTATCATCTAATATCAAATGAGAAGTCATTTTTGAAGAAATTATTCTCAACATTATTTACAAAGAACAGCAGACTATATTCTGTATGGCAGGCTCTAAGTTCTTCCTTTGTTTTTGAGATAGTTATGTTTTGAATCCCTACCAATAACCTCATCTTGCAGTGCCAGGACATTAGCAGAGTCCAACTCGTTCAGTCTCAAGGTCAGTATTTCTAGTAACTTCCATAATCCAAACTTAGCAATCAGTACATTTTATCTCTTTCTACCTGAAATGTTTTAGATAATGCATTACCATGTAAATCTACTTTAATAGGCAATGGCACTTAATTTTATAGTAATCTTTGATATATTCAAGATTTTACCTGAAATTAGTTTTCAGTGATAAAGCAAATAACATTCACTACACCTCTCAAGATACAATTATGCCAATAGTATATAAATAAGTCACAAGTTTATTCTATTATCTGAATTAACTATTCAATTCTTTAAAAAATTATAAACATCACCTTTATTAATATTTACATATGGTTCTGTAAACAAAGTTGGCAAAAAAAAATCTCCTAAGAATCATATATATATATATAAAAATTTCAGGAATATAATCCTATTACTTCTGATAAGTACATTAAAGACTAAAATCCAACAAATGTAGAAGTTGAAGGGGAAGAGAAAAATGATAACAGATTACTTGAATGTTCTTCCTCCCAAATATCTAAAACATCACATATACCACTGTTTTCAGTGTAGCTTGTAAAACCCAAGAATTCTGACTTCTCCCCACTTGTCTGAAATAAGTCCAGTAAAGACTGTACTGGTGAGCTACAAATTCTGTCTTCTTCTTGTGCAGTAAGAAAGTCAGTTCTTTTTTTATCCAATTCAGCATTTGGTTCCAGATTTTCTTTTTTATTTCGCCCTAATAATATTCTCACCTTCCGATGGATTTTACTAGAAGGCAAATTATCCACAGCCTCGACGTCACATTCATTGGGTTCCTGAGGACTACAGGACTGAGTTTTGGTCTTCACTGTTAGGTGTTCTTTTGACATATTTACTGTTACCAGGTCAGAGTCATGATCAAATACTGAATGAAGGTCTGTTTCCTTCTGGTCTTCTGCTGGAAAATGTGGAGTGTCTGATGCCAATTTTGGTTGGGATGGGCTATTATTTGTACTGAAATAAGAAACTTGTAGCACACTTGGAGGGTCACCTACTTTTTGTTCAACATCATTTTCATCTATAATTAATTTATGTTCAGAAACATCATGACTACATTCCTGTTTAGTTTTATGTGGAGGTAGCTGTGTAAAATTCTGTTTTATGTCTTGTTCAGCTGCACCAAACATGCTTATTGTTTTCTCAACTCCTCTCAATTCATCTGAAGGGCAGGAGTTCAGCTCTGAAATAAGCACAAGCTTTGGCTCAGATTCCTGGATTTCTTGATGCAGGAAATTCTGCTTGGTCACCTGTCCTTTGTTTTCCCTCAAGCTTTTCTGGGAAACAGGCCGCAAGTCTAGCTTCTCTTTGGGCTCAGTCTTTTTCAGGAAATTGGCAGAAACAGGAGAAAGAGATCCAACACTGTATTTTATTCTTTATAAATAAAAAATAATAGAAAGTTAGAAATTAGGAAAACTATGTTTATTGTGAGTTACTTAAGAAGCCCACTTAACTTTAAAAATACCCTAATACAGAAATCTTTGACATTTTATCAAACTAACTTTAGATGTTTTCAAAATAAAAAAAAAAAAGCTGGCAATTCTAGAGTGTCTTTCTACCTACATTCTTCTCTATCCCAGATATAACCAATATCCTGAACCTGGTGTTTAAAACTAATTATGAAAAAAAAAAAAAAAAAGAAAACCCTAATTACATTAGCCAACAATGATAAGATATTTGTACCTGACTCTAATTTTATTTTTTATTATCCTGAAAAAATTCTTTAACTTCAATGCTTTATATTAAAGTACATTTTACTCATTTTTCTTATCAATGTAGAAAATAATTACTGGGAAACTAAAGGTAGAAACATACATTTATTTCCTATTTATACTCTGAAATATTTCCTATCAACATGAACTAGAAACTTTTGTCTTTTTTTTCTTTTCTGCTTTTTTTTTTTGACAGGGTCTCACTACGAAACACTGGCTTACCTAGAACATGCTATGTAGACCTGGATGGCTTCAAACTGGAACTCAGATCTGCCTGCCTCTGCTACCACATTTGGCTACATCTCTGTATTTCTAAAGATGACAAACTAATCTTTAAATTTCGTACAAATATTCAACCTGAAACCTTTTTTTTTGGGGGGGGGGGTGTTTTGAAACATGGTCCCCCTTTAGCCCTAGCTGGCCTGGAACTCACTATGAAGACCAACCTAGCCTCAATCTCAGAGATCTGCCTTCAGAGTGCTAGGTAAAGGCATGCACACCATGCCCAGCCTGAAACCCTTTTCTTTATGTAGTATCTTGTTCTTCTTAGGTTGCTACTTTCTACTGGACAATCCTAAATTATGTACAAACAATAGTTAACAGCTCACCAGTTACATTTTAAATTTCATAGCTCACTGTTTCAGTGAGCAATATACAATTTACCTATCTCTTCAACCAGAGTATTTTCCTTTATTCATATATTTTGTTTAAACTTTAAGATTTCCTTGTGCCTAATCCATGAGGCCTGTGGTCCCTAAAAAGCAGATAATTCTAAAAGAGGAGGAAAAGTTCCCTTCAACAAATGGTTGGTAAAAATATAACACTAGTTCAATAGAACAGCTCCTAAGTTTAGGAGACCAACCAGAAGTAAAAATGGTACAGACAAAGATAATTAGGGGGATAATCGGGTCAAAAGTTGTATGTTCAGAATTTTACTGAAGCTTTTAAGAAAATTTTAAGTTCTCACAGTAGCCCTATATTTCCATATTAATAAATCAGTCATAAACAAAATATCAGAATATTATAGAATTATGGGTCTAAGAACTATTTTACATAGTTGGAAAACTTTGAACTTTGTAGTTAATTTTCAGAAACTGTATCTTAGTATCACATTTCAACTTCATGCCTTAAAATTAGTATAAAAATTATGAGACTGTGGGCTGGAGAGATGGCTCGGTGGTTAAGAACACTGGCTGCTCTAGCAGAGGACCCAGATTCAGTTCCCAGCATCCACATGATGGCTAACAGTCATTAGTAACTCCAGTTCCAGGGGAATCTCACGCCCTCTTCTGACCTCTGTGGGCACTGCACAACATAGGTGCACTTACATACATGCCAGCAATGCACTCATATAAATAAAAAAAAATAAATAAATAAATAAATAAATTGACAAGAGGACTAACTGACTATCAAAATATAATCATATAAAAGCATTTCTACAATTTTAGATTTAAAAGACTAATCTAGGATCCACACTGTAAGTGTGCAATTATTGTAAGTTGAACAGCACTGTATTCACACTTAAAGTCCAGTCAATGTCTTTAGTAAATATTATTACCAAGTACAGTTTAAGCATAATTATTTTGTCAGAATATAAACAAGATTTACTAAAGCTAAGCAAGAGAGGGTTCCTTAAAACTGCTGCTGGTTAACTATATAGCTTGTTGGCAAAAATCTAGCCCTTGAGTCTATCTTCCAAGTAAAGTTCTACAGCATCACAGCCACTTTCACTATTCAGTAATAAATCTGAGCAGATGCAACTGGCCTCTTTCAGTACACAAAAGCTTAAATAGTAACATTAGTATTAGCTCTTCAAAGAAAAACTTGTGCACCCCCTTTGGAAACCATAATGTCAAAAGGAGAACTTAATCTAAGGTAAGTATTTTTGGTGGTAGGGGGAAAAGGAGAAAAGAAGGTATCAGTTTTCAACCACATTTACGTCATTAAAAAAAAAAATCTTATTCCTCTAAGAACAAATAAACATTAGATTCATTTTTAGATGTTTAGTGTCATAAAAGAGCATATTACTCTAGTACAATTTTGGTAAATTAATTACCTTTTCTTTTTAGGTGTGTCTCTTTCGTATTCCACAAAATCAAAAACTAACTTAGACACAATATCATCAACAACTTGATACTGGTTACTCTGTGCAAAGTTTCTGTGTTTCTCACTCAGAAGGTGCTAAAACAAAACAAAAACTGCATCATAAAATTGTATGTTGAGCTAATACTTATTTCTGTCCAGGATTTTTTTAACATTTTGGTCACTAAAGCTAGATTTCCAATGACTATATCAATTAAAAAATCAAAATAACAAACCAAACCAGAACAAATAAATGAAAAAATCCAAAACAAAAATCTTTCCTAAACATCAAGAACTACAATTAGTGGGGCAGTTGGCTCATGCTTGTAATCCAGCACTTGGGAGACAAAAGAGGGAGGACTGCTGCAAGCAGTCTGGTTTACATAGCGAATTCCAAGCCAGCTAGGGCTACATAGCAAGACCCGTCAAGACAGACAGACAGACAAGGACTACATAACCTCGGTACATGCTAATACTTCTGGAAAACATCTTTCCATCTACTATTTCATATAATCACCACTAAGGAGGGCTTAGAGAATTAAATGAAGTCTTACAACTTGACATATATCTAGAAGATAGTTAAAAAACAAACTACAAGGGCTGGAGAGATGGCTCAGCAATTAAGAGCACTTGCAGCCTTCCCAGGACTCCAGTTTGGTTCCCAGCACCTACACGAGGCAACTCACAACTACCTGTAATTCAAGTTCTTGGGGATCTGATAGCCTCTTCTGGAATCCACAGACACCCACACACTTGTGGCATACACTCCAACACATACACATGGTTTAAAAGTAAAAACGGGCTGGAGAGATGGCTCAGCGGTCAAAAGCACTGGCTGCTCTTGCAGAGGAAACAGGTTTAGTTCCCAGCACCTACATGGCAGCTAACACCTGTCCCTAACTCTAGTTGCAGGGGATTGATGCCCTCTTCTGCCTTTGACATTGTACAGCACAGGTGTACTAATATACATGCAGGCAAAACACTCAAAATAAAAATAAATTTTTAACAAAGATTTAACAATAAAAACAAATCTTTACATATATATATTTTAATGAGATCCCCCCTCTTAAAAAATATTTGTATTTAATTAATTTATTTATTTATGGTCTTTTTGAGACAGGGTCTCCCTGTAGCTCCAGCTCACTGAGTTCTGCCTGCCTCTGCCTCCCAAGTGCTGGGATTAAAGGCGTGCACCACCACACCCGGCAAAATATTTTATTTATTATTTTTATGTGTATGTGTGTATTGCCTGCATGTAGGTAAGCACACCTGTGTCATGCGTGTCTGCAGAAGAGGTTGTCAGATCCCCTGGAACTGGAGTTACAGACGGTTGTTAGCTGTCATGTGGGTGCTGAGATTCAAACCCGGATCTTCTGCAAGAACAGCCAGCGTTCTTAACTGCCGAGCCATCTCTCCAGCCCCTTTATATATATAAATAATTTATTATTCTTATTTTATGTATGTGTGTATTGCCTGCATGTAGGTAGGTGCACCCGTGTCGTGAAATGCCCATAGAGGTCAGAAGGGGCTGTTGGATCCCCTGGGACTGGAGTTAAGGATAGTTGTTAGCTTCCATGTGGGTGCTGGGATTCGAACCTGGGTCTTCTGCAAGAACAGCCAGTGTTCTTAACTGCTGAGCCATCTCTCCAGCCCCAGTAAAAATAAATCTTAAAAAAAGCCTATAATAAATGCTGCAAAATACATACATTAAAAGACTCAGCTGAAGAAAATATCCAAAATGAGTAATAATTGCTTCATTACCCAGTGATCATAACAGAAGAAAGAAAATTAGTTTTCCTTTTAAGAATGAGTAAAAGTAAACTAGGCATGGTGGTGCATACCTTTCATCTCAGCACCTAGGACGAGGCAGAGGCAGGCAGGTCTCTGTGAATTCAAAGGCTACACTGGTATACACAGTGAATTTCAGGCCAGAGAAGACTACATAGTGCAACTCTATCTGAAAATAATGTTAAAAAAAAAAAAAGATAAACAAATTCATAGTTTAATTAACTCCTAGAAATAAAGCTTCTTCTGAATGAGATCTCTAGGCTAATTTTACCATTTGTCAGCTGACCAGGGTATTATACCCTAGAACATTCCTGTTTCCCCAGTTACAAGTAACTTAAAATGCTTACACTGTGACTCCATTTGCAAAACCCAGATCCTTCATTGGTCCCTAAGCAATGCAACCTGTGTATTTCTTACTTAAAACTTTTCACATTTGGGACTGGAGAGATGGCTCAGCAGTTGAGAGCACTGACTGTTCTTGCAGAGGACCTGGGTTTGATTTCCAGCACCCACATGGTGGCTAATAACTATCTGTAACTCCAGTTCCAGGGGACTCCGACGCCTTCTTCTGACCTCTGTGGGCACTGCACGACACAGGTGCACTTACACACATGCAGGCAATACACTCATACACATAAAATAAAAATAATAGAATATTTTTAAAAGTTCACATTCAAATTACAGATGTCCTATTGTAAAATGAGAAAATGACCAAAAATTCAAAACTGACGTCAAATTTGTAAGTTCAGAATGAGTTCATATTCTGGGAAGGGAAAAAAAAAATCATTTATTAGTAAAATTCCAGTTTTTAAGTAGGTTCCTCTGTGCATTCAGCTAGTTGCCTTACTTAACACAAAGGTCCTTTCTGTTTTTGAGACAGGATCTTCCTACAGCCCCAGCTGACCTCGAACTACTCTGTTTAGGCTAAACTGACCTCAATCACAGAGATCTGCCTGCCTCTTATCTGCCTGCCTCTTAAGTGTTGAGATTAAAGGCATGTGCCACCATGCCCAGCTTTATCACTTAGGGCTTAATTTAGATTTCTCTGTAAGTTAAGTAACCTTCTTATTTACTTATTTTCATTTTGGGAATTTGGGAGTTAAACCATATATTTCATACATGCTAAGCTCGTGCTTTACACTAAGCTACATCCCTAACCCCTTCCTCATCATTTATTACCATTATACTTTACTACCATAACAGTCATGCTTGTACACACACACACACACACACACATACACACACACACACACACACACACAAAAAAAAACCACAAAACAAAAAACAAACACCTCTATCTTCTACTCCAGCCATACAATATATAAAAGGTAGGGAATGTCTACTTTAGTTCTTGACCTCCAGTACTAAAAAAAATTGTGTATTTGCATATGTGTATAAGGCAAAGGACAACCTCACATGTCATTCTTTCCTCAGGTACTGTCCACCTGGAAATCATCAAGTAGCCTAGCAGACCAGCAAGCCCCAGGCATCAGCCTGTCTCTACCTCCTCAGCATTGGGACTTTAAAGTGCATACCACCATGCCTGTTTTTTTTATACAGATTCTGAGGATCAAACTCAGGCCCTCTGTAAGCCTTTACTGACTGAGCCATCTCCTAAACCCTCACAAATATTTACTAAACCAATCTCTTGGCATGGTAAAATTGAGTCACTGTGAAAGCTAAGATTCAAAAAATACATTTTGAGGGGTTTTTTTTGGTCAAAAATAGGGTTTCACTGTAGAGCCCCAAATGGTCTCAAACCCAGGATCCTTCTGCACACTGCTTCCCAAGTGCTCGGATTACAGGAGTAGGCTACCAAATTCATCTTTATTTTTGATGGCTAAGCAACATATAAATCAAAAACTGTAAAACACATTCTTAAATTTCACTCTCAAACCTACTTTCACAAATTTACCCTCTTTGCAGCAACCAGTGGGCAACTTTCTCATTATTTAGTTCCAATATTTTCTGAGCATCAAATTAGGATGGTAAATATTAAGAAAAACTAATTTTCTAGATTGTTCTTTTCACACAACACAAAGCAAATCTCCAGACCAATCAGTTACTTTAATTTAAAAATGATCTGAAGGGGCTAAAGAGATGGCTCAGCGGTTAAGAGCTCTGACAGCTTTGGTCTCAGCACCACATGACAGCTAACAACTGTCCATAACTCAAGTTCACGTGGATCAGTTGCTATCTTCTGACCTCCTCAGGCTGCATGACATGGGTACACTTAAACACATACAGGCAATACACTCATACACATAAAATAAATTTTAAAAAAATATTAAAGGGCTGGAGAGATGGTTCAGGGGTTAAGAGCACTGGTTGTTCTTGCAGAAGACCTGGGTTCGAATCCCAGAACCCACATAGCAGCTAACAACTGTTAACTCCAGTTCCAGGGGATCCAACGGCCTCTTCTGTCCTCGAGGGCACTGTATGACACGGGTGCACTTACCTGCATTCAGGCATAACACTCATACACATAAAATAAAATGTTTTAAAAAATATTAAAAATGATTTAAGTGAGAAGGGAAACATTTCTAAGATATTTTAGTTTCTGGGTAGTAATTTTTAACTAACTGTATTCCTTTATTAGATAAGCAAAACAAAACAAAACAAAAACCTGGTAAAACTACATTTGGGGTTATAAAACAATCAAATTCCAATTTAAGAATATAAAGTGAAAGCCAGGCATAGTGGTGTACACCTTTGATCCCAGAACTTGGAATTCAGAGCTAGATGAACTCTGTGAGTCCGAGTTCCAGGCCAATCAGAATTACACAGACACAAAGACAAATAACAAAACAACCTCGAAACAAAGTAACAACAACAACAACAAAGTATATTTACAACCCGATATGCCTTGGGAACTTCTATCACTGCTAGGTGCAGGCCATCATCTTGTACTCTTTGATTCTATCAGCCAGTTCTGGACTTTCCCCTGAATTTCCTATATCTACCATGTGTGCAATTTCCTGAGGCCTGAAGAGGGTGTTAGATCCCTGGAACTGGAGTTAAGCACTGTTGAGAGTTACGAGTGCTGGGAACTGAACTCAGGTCTTCTTCAAGAGAAGCCACTGCTCTCAACCAGAGTCATCTCTCCAGCCCCTCCCTTTATTTCAGTATCAAGAATTGCTGTTATCTACTTTTCTGTAGTTGCTACTTAAATGTCACCTTATTACTTAGGAATTTCCTGCGCAGTCTAAACAGCAACATCTCCATTCCGGTTTTATGTTTTCTTCAAGTACTGAACTAATATTGTCTATACATACTTGTTTTTAATCTTGTAGTTATCTATCTTCATTTTCCTCCCTTGTTCCACAAAATATAATCTTCACAAGGGTAGAAAATTTTAATGTTATTCACCCAGCACAGTGATGTATACATAGTAAGTGCTCAATAAAGGTCTGTTGAGTGAATAAAAATTGTTTTGCAATGTTCATTTCCCTCCTTTGGTTTCTTAAATTCTTAATGTTTCAGGCTACAGTTTTAATGCACTGGTCTAGCATGTTCAAAGCTCTGCGTTCAGTCCCCAGAGCCAGAAAACAAAGAGAAAAACATACTATTTATAATTACCATGTTGCAAACTATAATCAGAATAGTATAAAATTTAAACAGAAAAATATTTTTCAGAGTTTTAGAAAAATCAATTCATTAAGTATAAAATCACATTTACAGTTTCAAGATCCTCATATTTCTGTAAGCAACATTCACAATATCCTTTTTTTCTCTTCTCCTTCAACTGGAGTTGAACTGGGATTCCACCACATTTATCACCATCTGTATGAATTCTGGTAACAGAAAAACATGGTAAAAAAAATTAACTGCTAAACCTATGGAATAATTTTTAAAATTTACTATCTTAAATACCTTTAACTACACCTCTTTTTAAAAAATAGAAAAGTTAAAGACATAATGAATAGTCTAGAGAATACTTCAGATAGTTCCGGAGAAACAATACATTTTCATTATTTGCAAATATTTGGAGCCTCACTCCCCATCTACGATGTCTAAATAATGCACACTTAGATTCAAATCAAGTCTAGCACATGGGCAATAAAAATATACATGGGATCAGGCATGATGGCTCATGCCTTTAATTCTAACACTCAGGAGGCAGAGGCAAGTAGATCTTTGTGAGATTGAGGCCAGCCTGGTCTACATATCAAGTTTTAGGCCAGCTAAGGTTACAGGTAGACCCTGCCTCAAAATAAACAAACAAATAAATAAAACACACACACACAAACACGGGAAAAAAAAAACAGTCACAGGAAAAAACCAGTCAGGGCAATGACTATAAACAACATATACACCACTACTATGGCATGAAATACACCCCTTCAAGAAAAGTTTAAGATTGTCATCTAAATAATACTCCTAAGAATAAAGACCCAAAACCAACCTTAGTTTAGCCTGAGTTTGCTTTTGGATGCTAGATGGCTTATCTACATCAAATGGACTGCAAGGCTTCTGAGTAGAATAATTTATAAAAGGCATATTGGTCAGCTGAAGATAAAATGGCCTATAAGACCTAAAATAATAAAAAGACAAACACATGAGCTTCTCTCAGATAAAATAAAGGGTTTTTGTTGTTTTGTTTTTATTATTATTTTATGTGTATGAGTGTATTGCCTGCATGTATGTAAATGCACCCGTGTTGTGCAATTCAGCAGAGGTCAGAAGAGGGTTTTGGATGCCCCTGGAACTGGAGTTAAGGATGGTTTGTAGCCGCCATGTGGGTGCTGGGAATCAAACCCAGAACCTCTGCAAGAGCAGTCAGTGCTCTTAACTGCTGAGCTATCTCTCCAGCCCCTAAAAGTTTTAACTCTTATATTTCAAAACCATACAGTTCACCTCAAATCTGAAAAAAACAATAGGTTTGGTAAAGGTAATTTTCAAAGAACCGATTTGTAGGCCTATTTTTTAAACATTTATAGCAATTCAAATATTTTAAAAATATAACAAACTATTGTCTAAACTATTTTATTACATAATTTAGTCACATTAAGCATTCATCAACTTGTGAGATCCTTATGACCATGTTTCTCTAGAGTGCTCACCTTGCAAAACTGGAAACCCTACCCACTGAACAATACCTCTCTGCTCCTGCAAGGCCTTTAGCAACCACCATTGAATCTGACTCTTCTGTATGCTTCATGTAAATAGATAACGCAGTATTATTCCTTATTTCTCTTCAGATAATGTCCTGAAGGCTAATCCATGTTGTTGCACGTCACAATTTCATACTTAAGAAACCACATTATTGCACTGTGTGCATACACACATAACATTATCTTCCCCATTTTGTTTATCCATACATTTGCTGATGGACTGGGGTTGTTTCTATCTTTTAGTTATTTGTTTCTTGGATAGTAGCTATTCTAATGGATCTATAGTAATATCTTACTGTGATTCCGACTTGCATTTCTCTTTTCCTTTTCTGACAGAGGTTATTTACCTATTCTATATCAACCCCTTATATGGCTTGACCTCTTTGATTTACTGGGTTAATCTTTGTATTATGTTCTTTCCTAAGACGTACAGAAATTTAAAGTTGTGATATGGTCCAATTAAATTTTGGCCTGTATCTTTGGTGTCAGATCTAAGAACCTATTGCCAAATACGTTACGAAGTTTTCCCGTTTTCTTCCAAGAGTTCTCTATTTTTAGGTCTTTGATCTATTCTGAGTTAATTTTAGTACATAAAGGTCCAACTTTATTCTTTCTCATGCAGATACATAATTTCTCAGTCTTTTATGAAGATTGCTCTTTCCCCCATAGAAGGATCGTCTCATCCCTGTTGACTATCATTTGATCACAAAGGTGTAATTGTGTCTGGGCTATCTAGTCTAATCCATCAACCTGTATCAAATTATTGTTATATATTCATAACCTAATTTTGAAACAGGATTTTGCTATGCTGCTCAGGCTGGCCTGGAACTTTTAAATATTTCCAACTCTGCCTCCATTGTAGGCACGTACCATCACACCTTGGCCAGGCCTAAGGAAAGTTGCACTTTCCTTCACAATAATGCATTAACAATTTTTTTAAAGATTAATTTTACTATTTGCGTGTATGTGTGGATGCCTGCAGAGGCCAGAGGAAGGCAGTATCATATCCCCTGGAGCTAGAGTTACAGATGGTTGGGAGCTGTCTAACATGGGTATCTAGAATTGAATTCATCTTCTAAAAGAGCAGCAAATACTCTTAACCGTCAAGCAATCTCTCCAGTCTCCATAACACTTTTTATTTATTTATTTTTATTTTATGTGTATGAGTGTATTACCTGCATGTATGTAAATGTGCCCATGTTGTACAGGAGGAAAGAAGAGGGTGTCAGATCCCCTGGAACCAGAGTTACAAACGGCTGTTAGCTACCATGTGGGTGCTGGGATTGGAACCCAGGTCTTTTGCAAGAGCATCCAATGCTCTTCATCACTGAGCCATCTCTCCAGCCCCAATAACACATTTTTTTAAAAAGAAACTTTCAATATACCTTTGCCACCCCAATCAGTACCCAGGAGAATTAGCCAACCATGACCAAAGGAGAAATCAGAAAGTCAAGAGAAGGCAACCTAGTTGTTCCATTCCAAACTAACTTGTTTGTGTTTGTTAATTCTCATTTAGATTATCACAGCAAACCTAAGAGCGAGTTTTGGAAAGCTATTATATTACATGTCATATTTAGGTTTTGTATTTACAGGTAGTATCTAATAATTTTTCTGTACATTTACAGGGGAAGCCTTTAGTAGCTGTTCTAAACCATAAGGTATTGCATTTAGCCAGAGAGACTGATTATTTAAAATACTAAAAAATGAAATGGTTTCACAATTGGTCTGAACCAGATACTCCGAAAATAATTTATAAAAGGATCAAACTAAATTTGGCCTTTGAGCACAACCAGATGTTACAGGAACTAAAATATATTAGTGGGAATAACCTAATAAGATTTTCTCCTTTAATACTAACTCAATTTACATGATACACATTGGACTTGGATACTTACTGGCTCACATCTTCAACCTTTAGAAATGGCTTTTTGAGTCTTCCTGCTTGAGGACAGAAAACATGATTAGATATCTGCAAGCCATTGATTTTTTTTTCCCCCAATACCTTACATTATGAAAAAGAAAATCCTATCTACTTGAAAGGTTTAAGCCTCAGATAAATACTTTTCAGTATCACTCTCCCATCCCCAATTATCAGCTCTGTCCATATTCTCAGAATTTGTTTTGTTTTTATAACAGAAACGCCCTACTGTAGCCCAGGCTGGCCAGGAACTTCTCTTACTCCTGCCTCAGTGTTGGGATTATAAGTCTATGATGTCAACACAACTAGCCACTTAAGATTCTTAAATTGAACAGCATTTCCAAAGGTTCTATGAACAGGACAACTCTTTTATTTTTACTAAATTCTAACTTAATCCCTCTAATTGGGCTGGAGAGTTGGCTCAGTATGTAAGAACACTGGCTACTCTTGCAGAGGACCTGGGTTCAATTTCCAGAACCCACATGGCAGCTAACAACTGTAACTCCAGTTCCAGGGAAATCCAATACCCTCTTCAGATCTCTGTGGGCATTTCACAACATGGAGTGCACTTACACACATATGGGCAATACACTTATACACATTAAAAAAAAAAAAAAATCCCTCCAATTATAAACAACAAATCACAGTATTAGATTTCTGCAAAGCTATTTCAAAACTGTTTATGCTTATCACATTAAATGAACTTGAATAATTGCTTTTTCTGAGAATCTCATGAGCTGTTTTATCAAAAATATTTTATTATGTGAGTGTTTTATCTGCTTGTATGTAAGTGCACCACATGTGTGCAATGCCCACAGAGGCCAAAAGAAGGTATGGGATACATTGGAACTGAAGTGGGTCACCATGTGGGTCCTGGGAATTGAACCTGGGTCCTCTGGAAGAACAGAAAGCTTTTTCTTAATGGCTGAGTCATCTTTCCAGCCCCAGAATCTCATGAGTTTTTAAAGAAAGGTTTTAAAAGTATTAATTTGGGAGCTGGAGAGATGGCTCAGTGATTAAGTTACAACTTAGAGTTTGGTTCTAAGTATATACTAGACAGTTCACAACTAGGGAATATAGTCTAGGGAATCTGATGGCCTCTTCCAGACTTGGCAAGTACCTGCACTCACTGTTCATACATATGTGTACACACACAGACACATACAGACACACAAAATTAGTAATTTTAAAAAAATCTTAAAAATAATAATTTGGGGAGTGCAGTGTAGGCGCCACCAGGGTACTAGAGGGGGTCTGTTTTTAAAATGACCAAGGAATCCTTGAATAAATCATTTGAAGGACTTAGAAGATCATTCTATAATTTTTGGTGCTGTATTGAAGACCGAATCTAGGGCATCATGAATTTGAGGCCTTGACCGTCATATAATTTCTTCTGCTTTCTAGAAGCAAATCAAACATACTCAGGGATAGCAAAGCTACCGGAATACTTACTTCTTGCTTTTTGTATTCCAATACCAACTTTTTTCCCCTAAAAAGAAAAAAGGAAAAGATTCAATGAAAAATACTGGGTTTGAAAATAAAACAAAAATTGCAAAGGCAACTATTCAATATACTCAAGATATACTTACATAGGAAACATACTATATAAAAGAGAGGCATTTATTGTTTTTTTGGGGAAAAAAATCTTGCTTTTTAAAATAAATCCAACCAAATAAATAGCATTCCAGAACCTAGTCATTTCTATAAAACTCAATCCTACTTTACATTCTTTTTTTGGGGGGGGGGTGATACTGAACCTATGCCCTCATGCTCTTAGCCCTTGAATTCTAGATGTTTTAGCCTTTAATTAATGAAAGTAAATTAAGGAAAACGTACAGTTAACAAAATAGTCTGCCAATTCAGATCTATATGAAATACGTACCATACCCCGAGGGCAACCAATCCATTGACTGTAACTAAAAACTATGGACAATAAGAAATTATATGGGTATGTAAAAATTTTAAGGAAGCAGATTGTGCAAGGGGGTCAAACTTCAGTCATGAAGGTGGCAGAATCAGTGGCCCAAACTTCTTTCTCTTCCACTTGTGTCCTAGGGGTGTATTCCAGTTATAAACTGTAGTTATAAAGGTAGTACAGGCAGCTAAAATGAGGAAACCCTCAATTTCTTACTATAGGAACTAGAAAAAGGGCCTTTGTGGACTAAAGATTCAAAGAGAAATGCAAGGAAAGAGCAAGCTGAAGAAGGGACACCCGCCTCCCCAATTTGCTATACATGTTCCACATGTGTGCTAGGCTTAACCTTACATATACTACTGATAGTTCCAAAGTGGCAAGTATAGAAAGGGCTTTGAAAATGCAACTAAGATTTAAATCACTGTCCAAATCTTAGATTAACCCATATTATGTAATGTGTGTGAGACAACCCCAAAGCTGTATACAAGTCTAAAAACTGGAATAAGAACCACTATGCATCAACAAAAATTAAGACTGAATTTACAGTCTGAATAAAAGCGGGATGTGTACCTATTAAAACAACAGCAAAAACAAAATCAGCCTTGTTCAGCTATTATAACAGATCTAGAAACTAAACAATGTAACACTGACAATATCTTTTATGTAGTCAAAACTTGTGGGACACATAAAGAACCAAAAATGAAAATGATCAATTCTTAAGAAAAAAGGGTTAAGTGGATGCAAAGAATTTTGAAAGATACACACTGTAAACAAACACAAGGGGAAAGGTACACATTCTCGTTAGAAAATCTATGGAGCCAGGTGCACGTGAGGCAGTTAGAAGTCAAAGTCAGTCTAAGTTTCATAGTGAGTACCAGGCTAGCCAGAGATACATGGAAAGACTGCCTCAAAAATGAAAGGAAGGAAAGAGAAACTATTAAAAAAGAATCCAATAGAAATTGTAGAACTGAAAAAACAGTGTCCAAGACGTAAAATTTACTGGATGGGTTTAACACCAGAACTTAGATGACAGTGAAAAGTCAGCAAATGCAAAGATAAATGAATTGCTATTTCCAGTTGGAAGAGAAAAACCTAAATGAACAGTCTCAGAGATAGTTGGGATCAAGTCTTTACTGTTGTAAAAAGTACATTCTTCCACTCACAGAGCAAGCTGTCTATTACACTACTCAAGTCACTTAAAGACTGAATGAAGGAAAAGCAAACCACAAAAGAATTGTCTAAGAAAATAAGAGAACGAAAAGGAAGCTAAGAGATGAGAGAAATTCCAGAAAGAACAGAGAAATTATGGATTGTAGCTGGGAGAACCAACACAATGGACATAGAAAGGATTCAAAGTGATCTAGAAAACTGGTTAGCAGTTTCACACCTTGTCAGTTGAAAAGTGAAACTACTGATGAGATGGATTAGAAAGAGTGGGATATAGGATCAAGGGAGAACTTACTGGTTTTTTTTGGCTTTTTGAGATAGGGTCTCCTTACAGCCCAGCCCCAGCTGGCCTGGAACTCACTTATGTAGACCAAGCTGGCCTTGAACTCAGAGATCTGCCTGCTTGTTTTTTCTAATAGACAGAAAAAGGTTGACTTTATATAGAAACTTCAAAGGTGAAACCAGAAAAGAATGGAATATATGAAGGTATGGGAACAGAGGAATAACACAGTACAAAACCCAGTATGGTTAAGAAATGTCTCAAGCTTAAACTAACTAGCTATATGACATAACAAAATTTTATTACTCTACCATTTAGAGGAAAAGTATATTCTCTATGGTCCCAAAGAAGATTTTCTTAGGCAATAGGCTAATTTTTCTACAAAATAATAGTATCTATTTAAAAACAATTTAAAAAAGCTCCTCTCCCAGAAATGTATACTTCATGAATACAATCTTCAAGTTAAATGATATACAATTCAGAAATACGCACACATTACAAATGCATATCCATAGAAGAGGGGGTAGAAAGTTTGTAAGAGCCAGGAAGGAGGTACATAAGAGTCCTACAAGCTCCTGGGATTTTGCTCATATGAACCTATAGCAATGGTGTCAGCATGCACAAGACCTATGCAAATTCAAGCAGACAAAACCACAGAATTGTGGAAATGCACATCAGGCCCCAATCTTCATCGAAAAATTATTGGCAGCTGAATAACGCTGGGTATACAAGAGCTGATCTTTGGTCTTTTTGAGACAGGGTTTCCCTGTAGCCCTACCTGGCCTGGAACTTACTATGTAGACCAGGCTGGCCTTGAACTCAGAGAGATCCACCTGCCTCTGCCTCCAGAATGGTGGGATTAAAGGCCTGTGCCACTTGCACTGAAGGATGTCTGGGGACATTAAATTGACACGATAGGCTTAATGCAATGACAGAATGTATGAATTCCAGTGGTGGAGGGGAGACTATGGGAGGGTGCCAATGGGGTAGGGGGTATAATGATGATTAATATTAAAATGTTCTGTATGAAATATACAAAGTCATTAAAAAATTTACAAACAAACAAAAATCCAAATGCTTACCCATGAAATAGTCTGACAACATTTTTTACTTGGCAGGAAATTATTCATATATAAATTAAAAACCAAGCTATAACTTTTTAACAGTCGTTTAAAAATTAAGAAAAAACATACCACATCTCTTACAGAAGTACTTGATTTCTTGAGTACATACAACTCTTTTTTCTTTTGTTCAATGTAGTATCTAATGTCTTTATTGAAAGAAAAAGAAGGGCTTAAGATTAGCAATTTTAACTTTGGAGTTAAATAGTGATGGTTTCCTAGAATTGCAATAAATTAGGTGAAGGATTTACAAGCATAGGTACCACTTACATCAAAATTTTCATTAAGGGGCAGACACACGCATTTATAACAAATATTGTCAAAAGATCCTTACCATCAATATGAAGAATTTTCACGCCCCATGATAAGGCATTTGATAATATACTATTAGAAGGAATAAAATCCTGCAAAAAAAAAAAAAGTTTGTCTAAAAAATTACTGTTTAAAAGAATTAGCTAAGTCTTAATATCACTGAAGAGGTTATTCACAAAGGTCTCTAAAGAGTTACAATAGCAGTGAGGCTGGTGACCCGCACCTTTAACCCCACAGCTTGGGAAGTAGAGGCAGGCAGGTCTCTTGAGTCCAAGGTCAGACAGGGCTACATAGTGAGATCATGTCTTTAAAAAACGTTACGACAGTCATGAAGACCTTATTTTATCTATCTTTTGGTAGTTCTAAATCAACCCAACCCTAGTTAATATATTCCTATTTCTTTTTTGTTTTTGAGACATGGTCACACTACATAGTCCAGACCAGAATGGCTTCAAACTCAAGAGATCTGCCTGCCTCTACCTCCCAAGAGCCGGGAATAGACGCATGCACCACTACACTCAGCTTATTCCTATGTTCGTAACAATTTAATGTACATTGTGAGGCAAACATTCTAAGTTTCAAGTAATATTTCAAAAGGCCACAGATGGGAGTGTTTCTCCAGGAAGTTGCTTCTGTTTCGGGTAAAATGAGATGATGCTGCAACTTGGGCTTTTCCCATCAAAAGACAAGATGTCAAGAGTATCTACAATTTTCAGGTAAATTCTTTGGGGTATGTGGTAGTATGTTATCTGTGTAGTGTATGCAGTGCTGTATACATGCAGTGTGCATACGTATACATGCATGTACAGGCCTTAGGTTGTTGCTAAGTATCTTTCCTCATTCATTCCCCACCTTTTATTTTTTTAAGACAAGGTCTCTCACTGAACCCAAAGCTCACTGATTAAGGTAGGCTGGTTGGTCAACAAGCTTCAGAAATCCACCTGACCCCAACCCCGCCCCCCAAGCCTAGGGTTAAAGGTACCTGTTGCCATGGAAGGCTTTAACCTTTCACATAGATTACAGGGATCCAACTCAGGTCCTCATGCAGGTGCTTTACTGATTGAGCCATCTCCCCAGCCGCCAGTTAAATACTTATTATTTATTTATTCCATGTGTGCATGCCTATGTGTATGTGTCTGTGCATGTGTGCACATACCATGATGCCTGTGTGGTGGTCAGAGGACAACTAGCTGGAGTCTGTTCTCTCTGTCCATCATGTGGGGCTCAGGGATCAAATAAAGGTCACCAGTCTTGTCAGCAAACACTACCCACCAAGCAATCTTGCCAGCCCACATTTTTTTTTAAACTTCTGGTCTTTAGGAGATGGTCTCCCTGTAGCCCCAGCTGGCCTGCAACTTGCTATGTAGACCAGGCTAGGCTCAATCTCAGAGATCCACCTGAAGACCTATGCCACCATGCCTGGCTCATAATTAAGTTTTTAATAACAAAATATAGATGAGTTTGGTGGTGTATATCTATAATCCTAGCACCTGGGAAGTTAAGCTACATGGCAAGTTTGAGTCAGCCTTGTCTACATGAGGACTTGGCTCAGAAAATCAAAAATAAAAAAGCACAATATACATTGTGCATTTTCTTTTTTATTTCACACGGGGTCTCTAGTCCTGGTTGGCTTTGAACTAACTGCTTAGGATGGCCTTGAACTTCTGATACTCCTACCTCTACCTCCTCAGTGCCAGGATTATAGGCATACACTGCTATCTCAGGTTGATGATGTGCTGGGGGTTGAACCCTTACCTATGCTAGGAAAGCACCGTCCCAACTGAGCTACTCTCTGGCCCACACATTGTGAATTTTTTTAAAGTTCCTACTCACATGATCCTTGATAGCTTTTTCAACTAACAATTTTCCTCGGCTTAAACACACCTATAAGACAAACAAACAAAGAGTTGTAATATAGTGTTTCATCAGAGAAAATTTTAGAAAATTGAAATAATTAAAATAGATATATATTGTTTATATAGTCTCAATGGTATCAACAGAGGAAGCATATGGTCAAAAGTGACTTTTTAAAAAAAATATTTTATTTCTATTTTATGTGTCTAAGTATATTGCCTGCATGCATGTGAATGCACCCGTGTAGTGCAATTCCAAGGAGGTCAGAAGAGGGCTTCAGATTCCCCTGGAACTGGAGTTAAGGATGGTTCATAGCCGCCATGTGGGTTCTGGGAATCGAACCCAGATCCTCTGCAAGAGCAGTCAGTATTCTTAACTGTTGAGCCATCTCTCCAGCCCCCAAAAGTGACTTCTTCAGTGTCTTGGCAAGATAGACTATTGAAAAGTTCTTTTTTTAGTGGAGAAAAAAGAAAAGCAACTGGAAGCCCAAGGGAATACTTCTGCAGATGGAAATTAAATAGCTGGGTCCCACTGAGAATTTGAAATCAACAATTTTCGGGTCAAGATTTTAAATTTTCTGGCTTTGGTGGTACATTAGAGGCACATTCTAGGCAAACATTCCATTCTACCATTTATATCCCTAATCCTTTTTCTATCTTTCATTTTGAGATAAGATCTCACTAAGTTGGCCAGGTAGGCCCCGAATTTGCTATCCTCCTTCCTCAAACTCCCAAGGAGTTGACATTACAGGCCTGTGCCATCAGGTCTGGCTTAGTTTCTTAATAAACTGAAGATTTAAGAAAAATAAGCTTTATATGCTATTTTTGCAGCTTATTTCACTTTTTTTAAAGTAAGACACCATGAAAAAGCAGTTGAATTGCTATGAGCAAAAGTGAAATGGGAGCTAATCACTAGGATATTATCTTCTTACTTCACAAAGACATTAATGCACAAGCCTGCCTTGGTCTCTTCCTGTTTTCTCATTTCCCCTCCCTTTCATATGGCTGTAACTGATAAATTGACCAAGATTTTTAAATGGCAATTAATTATACTTCAATCTAACAGTTTAGATACATTAAACATTCTAACAATCTCTTATCCTAAGTATTTAGTTTGTTCTTCCTTGTGTAGTCCAACTTAATAGCAATGGAGTGACAGGAGTGTATTGTCAGTAATTCTTTAAAATGGATTAATAATTTTTTTCTTTTTTTTGTCTTTTTTGAGACAGGGTCTCCCTGTAGCCCCAGCTGGCCTGGAACTCACTATGTAAACCAGGCTGATCTTGAACTCATGAGATCCCTCTGCCTCCCAAGTGCTGGGATTAAAGGTGTGTATCACCATGTTCGGGGTCAAACAATAGATAGTTTATGCTCTGTGGGCCATATGGTCTTTATCAGAACTACTGAATTCTGCTTCGTGCATGAAAGCAATCCAGACACACAACAATTTACACATACATTTTCTATTTGCCACATACTGATTTTTTTCCTACCAGTGACTTGAATATAGTTTCTATTTTTTTCTTCAAAAGAATGAGTGGAAAAAAAAAAAAAAAAGAAAAGAAAAGAAAGAAATGGCATGCCCAGTGATACAGGCCTTTAATCCCAGCACTCCTGAGGCAGAGGCAAGCAGATCTCTGTGAAATTGAAGCAACACTGGTCTACATATCTACAGAGTGAGTTCCAGACTGGATGGGGCTATGGGAGACCCTGTCTAAAATTTTTTTAAAAATTAATAAAAATACATATAAAGAACGACTACTACCTTTTTAGTTGCAAATCATTCTTTTTAAAACATTTTATTCTTATTTAAAACATTATTATTTTTTTATTTTATGTGTACAAATACATTGCCTGCATGTAGGTAAGTGCACCCATGTCGTGCGGTGCTTGTGGAGAACAGAAGATACTGTTGGATCCCCTGGAACTGGAGTTATGGACAGTTGTTAGCTGCCATGTGGGTGCTAGGATTTGAACCCGGGTCTTCTGCAAGAACAGTCTGTTCTTAACCGCTGAGCCATCTCTCCATCCCCAAAACATTTTATTCTTATGAGTGTTTTGCATGAATGTATGTAGACATACCACATGTATACGATGCCTGCGGAGGCCAGAAGAGGGCGTTGGATCTCCTGAAACTGGATACAGATTTGAACCACCACATGGAGTGCTGGGAACTAAACCCAGGTCTTCTGGCAGAACACTCAGTGCTCTTAATTGTTGAGATACCTATCCAGCCCCAGCTGTAAACTATTCTAAAACAATATAAGCTACGCTAAAGTAGAAGTATATACTTTAGGAATCGGGTCATGACTATATTAAGGAAAAAAAAAAGAAGCTTCACATCTACAGTTTTGTAACTGATCCACCTAAGTTCTGTCAGCCTGCTACTGAAAAACCAGTCAGCTAGGGTGACACATACCTGTAAACCCAGCATTTGGGACGCTGAGGCAGGAATGCTGAAAGTTTGAGGTCTACCTCTCTGGACTATAGGGAGTTCCAGGCCAGACTGAGATGGCTACACAGTGAAACCTTGACTCAAAAGAAAACCAGCAGATCCTCTTTCCAAGAGCCTCATATCATATATAACACACTTACTGTGTCTGGAGACTTAAATGAACTTCCATCATGGCTGGGATGAGGTGAGGTAGTTTCTACAGTATAAGCAGACTCTGGACTTGGTACAGGAGAAATCCGACTCAATGTTTGTGCATACTTTGCTTCCTTTTTATTTGAAATAAGATAACTGATATCTTTGCTGAGAAATTCTTCAACTCGCTAAGGAAAAACAGTATTTTTAATAAAAAAAAAATCCATAAACCCATAAGCCATTTCAAACACAATGTACAGTATAAAATTCCAATATGATACATTTTAACACCTTACAAATTGGTGTTTTCTTATGCTGTATTTTTCTGAGCACAGAGTTCTGAGCAATTATAGTTGGTATTCCAGTAACAATATAATAATGACATACACTAAATGTTATGCTTAAGGACAGTGCTGGATAGCTTTGGTTGTCAACTTGAAACACCTGGGCTGAGGGAGTCTCAACTGGGGAACTGCCTCCATTAGACTGAACTGTGGCCATGTCTGTGGGGTATTTTCTTGATTTTTGAGTGACATGGAGGGCCCAGTATACTGGGGGTGGTGCCACCCCTGGGCAGGTGGTTCTGTATTGTATGAGAAGGCAGGCTGAGCATGGGCCAGGGGAGCAAGCCTATAAGCAGTGTTCCTTCAAGGCCTGTGCTCCAGCTCCTGCCTCCAGGTTCTTGCCCTGAGTTCCTATCTTGGGCTCCCTCAGTGACGAATTGTGACCCAACAGAAGTAAGCTAAATAAACCCTTTCCTCCCCAAGGTGGTATTGGTCAGAGTATTTTTGTCACAGCAATGGAGAAACAACCTAGAACAAGCACTTTATCCTAATTAATGTTAACATATACTCTCATGGCACTTATCTACATTTTTCACATATAAAACTGAAGTGACTTGCTTCAGGTCACACCAAAAAAACTTTCTATAATGATGAACTGTTCTTTGCCTACACTATGTAATATGGTAAAAACTTGCTTTATGTGGTTATTAACCACCTGAAATACAACAAGTGTGACCAGGCCACCGATTTTAAATTTCACTTACTGTTAATTTAAATAGTCTTAAACAGTTATTGGCTACTATATAATGATTTAGAACTTGGCTCTAAATATCTTCAAAAGCTTAAACATATAAGAGGAAAGGAATATTTACCCTCAAAAGTATAAGATTGTTGAAAGAAAAACTTTCCTCTTAATATGTTTTATATTAACATACTTACCAAAGTCAATGTTATTAAAGATCATTCACCATCCATACTAGTACTATTAAAACACATACTGCATAAATACATTATTTAAAATAGTAAATACAAAGTAGAAATAGCTAACATTCTAGGTTTTTAAGAGAAGCTCCATCTCCTACACATTTTACTATAATTAAGAGGCAGGCAGATCTTTGTGAGTTCGAGGCCAGCCTGGTCTACATAGTGAGTTCCAGGACAGCTGGGGCTACAAGGAGACCCTGTCTCAAAAAGACAAAAACAAACAAACAAACAAAAACCCAACAACAAAAAACTAAGCTGGGCACACACAATTAATCCCAGCATGTGGGAAGCAGAGACAGGCAGAGTTCCAGGCCAGTTGGGGTTAAAGGCGGACCCTGTCTCATAAAGACAAAAATGAATTAAAAAAAAAAAAAAAGTAAAAACCCAAAAAACTATTTCAACAATTTTATGTTTACAGTTCAATGGCAATACATATCTTTGTAGTGCTATACAACCATCACTATTACCCATTTCCAGAACTTTTTATTATCTCAAACTTTAACTCCTTTATTCCTCTATATCCTCAATTCCTGATAACCTTTATTCTACTTTGTTTCATTGAGACTATTCTGGAAACCTCAGTGCTATGGTTTGAATGCACTTAGTAAAACTGTTGCAACTTATAATTCCAATTGTGAGATATTACAATGAAAACTTTATGGTATTTGGAGGCAGACTCTTGAAAGTTTAATGAGGTGATAAAGGTTAAGATCAACTCTGATATGGTGGGGCTATGGCTTTACAAAAGGAAGAGATGTGGGACAAGAAGACTAATGACTGTATGCATTACTTTTCTTGTTGCTCTAACCAAATATCATAAGGGTTTATTGTGGCTAAGGGTATGAGGGGATATAATCCATACAGAGCTGGTATGACAGCAGGAGGATGAGGAACCATAAAGTATCTGCAGTCAGGAAGCTGAGGCATATTCTGGTATTCCACTAGCTTTCTCATTTTTATTCAAGTCAGAACTTCAGCTCATGGAGTGGTGCCTCCTCCTTTCAAGGTGAGTCTTCCCACCTCAGTTAAACTCCATGCAAATACCTCACTAACACACCCAAGAGTTTGTCTCCTAAGCAATTCTAAATCCTATCAAGCAATCAGGATTAACCAGCACAGTCAATATATGATAAGGCTCTACATCACCTTGAGACCCTGAAGAGCATCCCCATCAGTAAGACGGACCTTACCAGATGCAGATATCTGATACCTCCTAGTCTACAGAAGTGGGAACCAAATAAACCTTAATCCTTTATTACTACTTAGCTCGTGGTAGTCAGTTACAGCAAAAGCAAAGCACTACGGAGACAGTCTAAGCAGAATCTTTTATTGTCCTTTTGAGACATTTCTTTCACTTAGTAAAATATTTCTAAGGTTCATTCACATCGTATACATCAGAATTTCATACCTTTTCTGTGTACTATTCCATTTTATGTGTATATAAACATATATTTATATAAACATCTTGTTTCTTCATTTATCTATTGGACACTTGGGTTTTTTCTACCTTTTGGCTATTAAGAAAAATGCTATCATAAATATAGACGTACAAATGTCTGACACTCTACTTTTTCTTTTTAATTTTATTTATTATTTTTATTTTATGTGTATGAGTGTATTGCCTGCATGTAGGTAAGTGCACCCATGTCGTGCAATGCCCACGGAGGTCAGAAGAGGCTGTCAGATCCCAGGAACTGGAGTTACGGACAGTTGTTAGCTGCCATGTGGGTGCTGGGATTCAAACCCGATCTTCTGCAAGAGCAACCAGTGTTCTTAACCGCTGAGACACTCTCCAGACCCGACACTCTACTTTCAATTCTGGATTTTGTTCTGAAACCATCCAGACTGTTTTACACAGCAACTGCCTCATCTTACATTCCCACTAACAGTGTACAAGTAAAACCATGAAAGTTAACATTTTATTTTCTGGTTCTTTGACAGTAGCTAATAGGTACCAGTATAGTTCTGATGCACATTTACCTCAAGATTAAAATGTTGTATGATTATTGGCCACTGGTATACCTTCTCTGAATAAATGTCTCTTTAGGTCTTTCACTGTTCATTATCTATTTATTTACTTACAATTAAAAATTTATGAGTGTTTGCTGGGTGTGTGGGTGTGTGTCCTGTGTGTTCCTGGCACCCACAGAGGCTAGAAGAGAGCATTGGAACAGATGGTTGTGAGCTGCCACAGTAGGAACCAAGCTCAGGACTTCTGCAAGATATCCTAATGGCTGTGCCACCCCACCACCCCTTCATATATTTTTAAAGTGAATTATCTTTCTACTGCTGAAAGGTAGAAGTTCTTAGTATATTTCTGGCTATGAATCACTTATTGGATATTTGATATACCATCTTTTTCTTTTGCATTTTTCTTGTAGGGGTAGTTATTTTGAGATAGGGTCTCACTATATAGCCCTAGCTGGCCTGGAACTACGTAGATCAAGCTGGCCTTTTACTTGGAGATGTTTCTGCTGCCTGAGTGCCAGAATTAAAGGCATTTCCCACCACATCCCCAGCTTTATTTTATTTTTTTGAGGCAGGGTCTTAGCCTAAGCTGGCCTTGAACTTTCTATATAATTGAGGATGACCTTGAAGTTCTGGGTTCTTTCAAGTGTTGAGATTACAGGTGTGTGCCATTGCATTTATTTACATGTAGTGCTAGGGACTGAGCCTAGGGCTTCATGTATGCTAAGTAAGCACTCTACCAACTGAGCTACAGGGCTGATATACAAAATATTTTCTACCATTCTGTTGGTTTTGTTAATATCCTGAGTTTTTAATTTTGACTAAGCAGAATTTTTAGAGAACAAGTTTTCATTTGTTGCCAATGCTATATCTAAGAAATCATTACCAAATCCATGTTATGAAGAGTTTCTTCAGTATGTCTAAGAATTTTGCCTTTTATATTTAGATCTTGGATCCACTTGGGGCTAATTTTTGCATGTGGATATCCAGCTATCTTAAAGCTAGTTGACTAAATGCTACATCCTTTAGAAAAAAAACAATAACAACAAAAAAAACCCCAACCATAGTCAAGTGTGGTGGTAAAAGTCTTTAATCTTAGCATTCTTTAATCCTAGCACTCAGCACTTGGGAGGCAGAGGCAGGTATGAGATGGAGGCCAGCCTAGTCTACACAATGAATTCCAGGTCAGCTGTGGCTATAGGGAGACCCTGTCTTAATGGATCTCTTCCACACATTTCTCCTAGTTTTCCATTTCTTACAGATTGGGAGGGCTACAGAGAAGACCCAATGGTTCTGAGCACTTAATACTCTTGCAGAGGACCTCAGCTCAGATCCCAGCACACACAGGGGGCATCTTATAACCACCTGCAATTCCAGTTCCAGGGGCTCTACCTAGGGGGTCTAATGTCCTCTTCTGGCCTCCGTGGGCACCACAACATCTGTATACATATACAAACACATATAATTAAAAAATTTTTTTTAAATGTGAAAACACTTCCTTAGTAGTTCTGAACACCGTATGTTACACAGAGACAGAAAGACCCCATCTCACCATCCCGACAAATAACGCAAAAACAACAGGAAACTGAACCAATAAACCTACTACTGGCTGGGTTGTGGTGGTGGCTCAGGCCTGTGATCCCAGTACTCAGGAGATGGAGGCAGAAGACTGCAAGTTCCAGGCCAGCTGAGGTATAAAGCAAGACCCCACAGAACTCCAACTACTCCAAACAATGAAACAGTAAGAAAATCCTACTCACCATCTTTTGTAATGACAAAAAGGCCCTTTATAATCTGTAACGTAACTGTTTCTTGATAGTTCCCAAATCTAAATCTCAAGTTCAAGGTATGCTGTAACATTAGTAATTACACAAACAAACCTACAGTCACATACTTTAAATGTTTTTGCCAATATTAAGTATATACATTTTATTAGGTATATTCCTAATGGACTCTCAAGACTAAGCCCAAACATTATCTGTGTTCCTAATGGCAGAGTAAATAATTTTCATCTGTGTGTTCATGATAGCAATCTCTATGTCTATATCTATGTTGTATTATAAATTACTTGAGGATAAGATGGGCACAGGATTCACTTTTGAGCCTAGGAAACACAACACTGCAAACCATAACTCAAATAACTGTTCTGTTAGTTGTACCACAGTCTTCAATTTATCAGAAATCATTGAATCTAGCTGGGCCTAGTTGGGCATGCTTTTAGTTCTAGCATTTGGGAGACAGAGGCAGTTGGACTTCTATGAGATGGAGACCAGCCTAGTCCATAGCAAGTTCTAGGCCAGCGGGAATTAGAGAACCCTGTCTTAAAAACAACTGGCTGGGCATGGTGATGCACGCCTTTAATTCCAGCGCTTGGGAGGCAGAGGCAGGCGATCTCTGTGAGTTCAAGATGCCTGTCTGGTCTACCTAGTGAGTTCCAGGACAGCTGGGACTACAGGGAGACCCTGTCTCAAACAACAAGAAGCCTCTCCCCCTCAATTGTCGAATCTATGCCTTTTAATAGGCAAACACAAAATTATACCTTGTCATTATACAAGTTCATGACAAGGTTTATTTTCTGCTTGTCTTCAATTGTTTTATTTTAGTCTAAACTGTTTGGAAATGAGCCTATTCTTTTTTTTGAGATAGCATTCTATTATGTAGTCCAAGCCAGCTTGAACTTGAACTCACAATCCTCCAGCCTTAGCCGCCCCCAAGTACTGAGATTATAAGCAGGTGTAACAGCAACCCTGGCTCTGTGTCCTTTTTTTGTCCTTTTGAGACAGGGTCTCCTGGAGCCCCAGGTGGCCTAGAACTCACCATGTAGACTAGGCTGGCCTTGAACTCACAGAGATCTGCCTGTGTCTGCCTCCCCAGTGCTGGGATTAAAGGCACGCACCACTATGCCCAGCTTTTATGTCCTTCTTAAATGGTTTTGATTTAGGTACTTTTCTTACCACTATAAAAGATATTTCTCTACTATGTGAGAATTGAGTGCTAGGCAGTCAGTAGTTGGATGATCAGGAGGAGTCTATGCAGATGAGTAAGATAGTAACATGTTTTCATTAAGACTAGAATAAAACAAATATGTAAAGTGGTTGATTAAATAAAAACACTATTGGGGATGATCTGAAGCAAATAAGTAGTAAAAGATAAAACGATTTACATGAAAATAAAAATTAAGGGAAAACATAACCATTTAAAGGACTATTTGACAGTTAGTGTTTCTTCAAAATGAATTCCAAAATCTGTTCCTTAATGACAGTCTTCTGTTGACTCAGTAGCTCTCTCTGTATTATGTAAGTCATAAATATTCATATATCATTAAAGAAACTCTGTGGGTGGCACAGATTACATAGCCCCCCCAATAATCGTAAGTCAAGTTCTTTCTGATATTTTGGAGGGCAGTTCACTAGGGTCAAAGGAGTCTCATTTCTTTACACTAGATCACTAATTACAGAAAGTTTTGTCAAGCTACAAAGGTTAAAAAAAAAGTCTTTTTCCTTTGGTCTTTGACTCTGAACCTAGATTCTTACTGGTGCTATGTAAGTACTACATTAAAGAGCTACATGCTCCACCGCCCGACTCCCAAAATTACTATTGATAAATAACTGATAAAAAGTTTGGTTGGTATTGAGAAATAGTTACAATTTTTCAAAGTGAACAACTGTAACAATTACATACTATAAAGTGCTACTACAAATTTTTGTGTGTGACTGTTCAGTTTTCACTTACCCCTCCCAGATCCTTTATGTCTTTTTGTAGTTTCTCAGATATAGTGACAGAAGGTAAGTCAAGGTAAAATATTTTTCCCAAAAGTGGCTTATATTTGGATTTTTCTGGTCTGTTATCAGTTTTCAGAGATTTCAAAGATGCTCTGTTCTTTTCATTTTTATCTTGGATTCCACCTATGATTTAAAATACTCAAAATTAGGTACGCTTTATGCACGAAAATTTAACTGCTTCAAAAACATTCAATAATCTTACCACAGAAAGGAAAAAAATCATTAGCCATACCAATTTAAGTCACTAGAATGTACTTCTGATTATTACCATTTAAGATAAGGCAAAATGTCCCTTTTGTTTTCACAAATTCTGTATTTGAAACTAACAGCTGAATCAGCAAAAAAATATTCACTTATTTATTCCAGTCAATGTATTAAGGCGCAGAACTACATAAAGCCTTTCTGAAAAACTTTCTTAGGAAGTAAACCCCATGTGGGCATTTAATCAAGTTATTTATTGGATGTCAGCAGTTCTGAACACTAAACAATGATGCTTCAAATTTTAAACACTTACCTAGGCAAAAAACCCTGTTATCTAGAGTAAATGACGCAGTCCCCGAGGCTCACTTACTGACACCTCAAATTTTAGTTTCATAGTCTAGTATTATGAAGGACTAAATGATCTAGTTGTTATACTTTGTTCACATCTTAAGGCTAGCTCCATTTCACTTCTCTCATTTTGAAAGCAGACGAGACACAAGTAACTTCTTTCAACTTTTAGAACACAATCTGCATTTTAGTACCTGGTTACTATATATACGAAAAACGTCCTATGATCATCTTTTTTAATAAAATAAAGTGATTGAAAATGGAAATTTGATTCTGTTTTCCCTTGTCTATAATGTTGAAATCCGTGTGTTTCACATAAACATACCTTCCTTCTATTATTAGGATGAGCACCCCAAGCCCACCCTCCACCAAGAGGTAATTCCAAGGCCTGGCGGAGCCGCAGCATCCCTGAAGGCAGGAGGGCGGCGGGAGGTCATTCCGTTTCCAGCCCAGGCAACACCTGGAATTTGGGGTCGCGGTTAGAGCAGAGAGTTCCAGCGCCCGGTCGGGGCTCGGAAACAAAACACCGAGAGAAGCCTTCCGTCAGGCACAGAGGATAGAGAAGAACCGCGGGCGGGAGAAGTCTAAAGGATCCTCGGTGCAACCACGAGAGGAGGAAACCATTAAAGGGGCTGCGGCGGGGGAGGGGCAGCGTACCCGGGAAACGTCCTTTGCTATGGATCCTCATGGCCTCGGGGTTCATGGCAGCCGCCTGGCACCTACATACTGGGTCCGAACGCGGTACCGCTCCCGACGGGCACGAGAACGAGGCTTCACCGGTCCAGTTGCCTGGGAGGCCGCTTCCCCCCTTCACCCGCCACGGCCTGGAGGTAGGGAGGCGCCACAGGCAGGCAGAGCTTCTAGGCCGGCTTCGGCTCCCGGGCGCGGAGCAGGAAGGAGCACAGCACGATCCAGAAGGCCGCGGCGGTTGAAGATTTGAAAACGAGTCACGCGACCGGGGCGCCGATAGCGCGCCCCGCCCCTCGCGCCTCGCGCCGCGCCCCGCCCACTCGCGCGCGGTGGCCAGCTGCCTCCACCTCGCTCCATGTGCCCGCCTCCTCGCGCCGCGCCCTGCCCATCGGGTCGTGACTCCGCCCCCTCTCATCCCGGGCCTTTCTGCCCTAGACCCTAGCTTTCTGCCGTCCTCTTCAGGTTCCGGCGCTGCCCGGAAGAGTTCCGCGTGCTGCGAACTGGCCAAGGTAGTGGCTGCAGTTAGCCCCAGAGGCGGGCCGGCTGGCTTCCCGTATGCTGAGTATCACCTTCTGAGTTTGCTGGGACCACTGCCTTCCAGCCACCTCCTCACCAGGTACGCTGATTTTCCACTCATCAACTCAGCGGCGGCCCCTCCTCACGCCCGGAGCCGCAGAGCAAGGCCTACGGGCGACCCCTTGCTCCCATCCAGACAGGCCGCAGAGGGAGTCCCTGCGCCGGGGGTGGCGTGGACGGGGCCCACCCGAGTCTGATGGCTGGCCGGCCCCAGCGCTGTCCGAACGCTGTCGCACGCCTACTCCCCTTTACCTTTGTTCTCTACAGACCTGACCTTTTTGTATGTGTACAGTTTTATTACAGTAAGAGTGGAAAATGAAGTTTCAGGGTGTTTCATCTGTAAAACAGGAATGATAGTAAGATTGTGGTCAAGATTAATTTTGCTCTGTAAATGAGAAAAAGGCCTCACAAAAATGGTCGTGTATGCTTCTGCTTGTACTGCTTTTAAACATTATATTTTGTGCTGGTTTGCATTTATTAACTTTTGCCCATAATAGGCACTCATATTTTCAACAGGGTTAGGGCAAAGAGTCTGGTGCAACAATCATGAAGCCATCTGTGTTTATTGGATAGTTGGAGCTATTTGTAATTCCCAAGAGATGTCTGGGACAGGAAGGGGAAATACACATTAAGAGACATTGAACTGATGGATTTCAGTCATAGGATTTATGTATAAGCGATTAACAGATCTTGAGAAGTAGGGCGAAGTATAATTTGGGCAAATATTAAATATTCTAACTTCTATCTGGCAAATTCAAAGTATAAACTACAGAAAAAGCACAAGATTTCCATGTTTATGAAATAGTTTAAATGTTTGAGAAGCACTAATATAAAATATAATTAAAACTGGGGGGAGTGTGAAATTACCCAGCAGAGCATGTGAAATAAAAGTCATAGTGACAGGTAGAGGATGATAAAATACGAGTGAAAGAGATGGAGAACAGGCCATTGAGTTGGAAGGGAACTGGGAACAAAACTTACCATCAAAAGTCCAGGAGTTTGCGGGGCTGGAGGGATAGCTGAGCAGTTAAGAACACTGACTGTTCTTGCACAAGAGCCAGGTTCGAATCCCAGTACCCACATGGCAGCTAACTGTACTGACTGTAACTCCAGTTCCAGGGGATCCGACAGCCTCTTCTGTAGGCATAACACATAAAAATAATAAATAAAATATTTTGAAAAGACATTTCATTAAAAAAAAAAAAGTCCTGGAGTTTGCTTACAGCATTGAGATGGATCTGGGTTCAGTAAACTACATAGAGTTGGATAATTATGAAGCTGTTTTAATCTGTGAAAAGGGGGTAGGTAATATTTCTAAGCTGTTATGGTGATTGAATGCAACGTTTTTGAAAGCTTAGTACAGGCATAGTAAGAGCTCAGTTAATTGTTGTCATTCTCATGAATCTTATACCACCCCTTCATTCCCAAGAGAGTTCAAAAAAGGGCTAAAACACGAAAAGTGTAGGCATTTGGTTGTGGTTTGGGAGATGTCATTGACTTCATAAGTCAGTGTAGTAGGTAAGTGCTAGATAAAAACAGGTTGAGTGTAGTTTGGGGGGGAAAAAACATTGCCAGTATAGAAAATAGTGATAGAAGGACTGGGTTTTTGTTGTTGTTGTTTGGTTTTTTTTTTAAGGTTTCAGGATATGGGAAATATATAAGCATGTAAGCATGTTTCTCTTAAAAAATGGAAACTGGAAGTCCATTTTATGTTGTGATGAAAGATGAGTTACATTTCTTATAATGAGGTAGGACAGTAAAAGAGTTGCACCCTGTGCTGTTAGGCTTGCCTATAACTGCAATGTAGTTGATAATTCTGAGCTATGAATAAGCAAAAAAATCTACTTGCCATGTAGTTAGTAATTTTCTAATCTGTCAACCAACAGTACTTTTTTAAAAATGTTATTAGAAAGTGGGGCATGGTGGCGCATGCCTTTAATCCCAGAACTCAGGAGGCAGAGGCTGGTGGATCTCTGTGAGTTCAAGGTCAGCCTGGTCTACATAGTGAGTTCCAGGCCAGCTGGGGCTACAGGCAAACCCTGTCTCAAAAAGACCAAAACTTAAAAAATGTTATTGGAACTTAAATCTTATTAGCATAGGAAGAAGGATTTGATCTATGGCAGTAAAAATAGAAACCTTACTTAACATGTCAGTATTCAGATTTGTTTGTAAAAGAATGTGATTTATGTTAAAGCACATCTTGTTACTTTTGTTGTTTATTCTCTTTTTGAGATAGTCTTGGCTTATAGCTCAGCCAGGCCTAGAACTCATTATGGAACCCAGGCTAGCCTGGAACTTAACAGAGATCTTATATCATCCTCTGATTACCGGAATTGCAGGCGTGAACCAATACCCCTGGCCTAAAGTAGATCTTGAAAATGTGCTTGAAAAGAGTCCTTCAGATGAAGGGTTTACATTCAAGAAGAAATCAGTAGGGACAGTTAAGAAACTAGCTTAAAGAATTCTCTTGTGCAAAATTAAAGAACAGTAAGCAGGATTATGATATCAGGCATGTCTGATTTGTGGACCATAGGCTACATGCATTCTAAGACAGCTTTGTACAGTTATAGATAATAGCATGTCATGATGTCAAAAGTTTGGACTCCAACACAGTTATAGATAATAACATCATATCATGATATCAATAGTTTGGACACCCCTGGAACTAAGTGAACATCTGGCTATAAATCAAGAGAAATTAATTCACATAGTACTGGCCTATCCTTCAAGTAATTTTATGACCTTGGACAAATTCTAATTTGTTTATATGGTGCTTGGAATTGAAGCTTTGAACTTTACCACTAATCTACATTCATAGGCAAATAATAACTTTTCTATTCTGAAATTTCCTCATCTATAATTTATTATCTGCTCAGCCTACTTTACCACTTTTTGAGATTATTGAATGAGACCTAATCTGCCTTTTCAGATTGTGTCGCATAACTAAATATTTACTATATATTTTTTGAGTTTAGACAAATAAATACTTCTAATACAGTTAACTTTGCTTTTTTTCTTTCTTCTACTTAAACCTTTCTTGCCAAAAGGTGTTTTTTTTCCTAGTCATAACAAACCTGAATTAGATTCAATCTTTATTTATTGTTCATTTGAAGCCTCTACTAATAATTGTCTGTTTGATTCTTCTGTCAACTATTGATACATTATTTCTGAAATGTATTCTGTTCTTATTTTTACTTTTTGCATATTATAGTCTCCTTAGCCTGGTGCATTGGAGGACCCAAAGTTCTTTGAGGTTATGTTCTTAGTTTTCAGTGTGAAAGGTTAGAATTGGTCAGGAAGTCCATGTCTCAGTTAAGAGTGGGCTGGGAAACCAGGAAAACTAGCATTTTGAAATCCTTCAACAGTTTCAATGGAGGAAGGTTGGATTTTATAGCTGTCTCTTAGTTTCTGTGTTCATTTTTCTCTACTGTTTTTTCTCTGTTCTCAGTCAATGGGCAATTTCAGTTGGCCCTTTCTTCCAGGTTATTGATTCCTCTGCCTGCTCAGATCTACCTTTGAACCTTGTGTTAGACAACTCTCCATTAATGTAAGGAATACCTGTGTTAATTGGCTTATAGAAAGTGTTTTGGTTAACAGTTTTGGAGATACCAGTTCACAATTTTGATTGGTCATTTTGCTTTGGGCTTCTTGTTAGGCAGCATATCATGGTACCAGTGCTTAGCAAAACATTTGCCTCATGTCTAGGCTGGGAAACAGGAAGAAAAAAAGGCTAGGACCTTACTATCCCCTTCAGAAGAATGGTATCAATGGCTAGAAGACCTCCCACTATGCTCCATTTATTAAGAATTCAATACCTCCTGTAATACCTCTTTGTCTAAAACCTATAAAAGGCTTCCTCCCCTGCAATCGGGGCTCTCAGTTCAACTTGGTGGACGAATGCCATAATTCTTCCTTGCTGATTGCTCCTGGAGCCCAAGCTTAAGCCCAAATAAAGACTCTTTGTTCTTGCATTCTCTCTGGACTCTGTGGTGATTATTGGGGATCTGTCCACTGAGCACAACATTTGGGGGCTTGTCTGGGATCCCCAAGAAACCGCCCCCCCACGGGACCCCAGAGCGCTGAGTCTGCCTGATCCGATCAGTGAGTGTCTCTTGTCCTTGTGTCTTTTGTCTTTACGTGCTTCTGGTCTTTGAGCCCAGTTTGAGATTGCCTGTTGGAGGTCTAGGCGGACGCCCTGGAAGGCCCCAAGCCATGGGACTTGGGAGATGTCCCATACCCACCTGGTGGGGATTGGATCCCCTTGGTAAGTTTGGAAGGATGGAGTGGGTCACACCCGCAAGGAGGCGAGAAGCCATCGTCCTGCTTTCAGTTTTAGGCACCAATTAACAGTGTGTTATTCCTGTGTGCGTTTGTGCTTTCTGTTTGGTTTGTGACTCTTACTGTATTGGAAGAAATGGGACAGAGCCAAGTAACCCCTCTCAGCCTTTTCCAGGATCATTTCTTGGACTTCAAAGCCCAGGCTGATAGCCTGGGGTTAGGAGTAAAGAAAGGGAAGCTCTTTGTGTTTTGCAGGAATGAATGGCCAACTTTTGGAGCTGGCTAGCCTAAAGAGGGGACGTTCGACCTGCCTACCATCTACAGAGTAAATTATATAATTTATGGCCATCCAGGCCACCCTGATCAGGTCCCTTACATCACGACTTGGCAGGTTATGGTGGAGGAGCCTCCAAAATGGTTAAAGCTGTTCCTTCCTCCTCCCACCACTGGCTCAAAGCCGACTGTCCTCGCTCTACACGAGGATGAGTGGCAGAGAAATGAAACTAAACCCTCTGCCCCCCCACCTTGTCTTGTAAGGAGGCACAGGGGAAGAACTCCTGCTTGAGCCACCCCCCATCAGCCTGTTCCACAAGCAGAACCTCAGGACATTCTAGGGGAGGCGGAGGCAGCCCCACCCTAGGAGGCAGAAGGACACCCTCCCCAGACACAGAGGAGAGTCCAGAGGGAGCAGCCATGGCTAGAGGCAGACTCTACTGTCCTCTCTCTCCAGGCCATGGAGCCCCTCACTGAATCAGGGGACCA